GGGTCAGAGGACTCTGATGCTCCTGTGTTGGTTTTCAGTCTCAGAGCTGCAAGGGTTGTCTAACGGAACAACACTGCAGCAATGCTGCAGGCAGAAATCCAGGCTTCGGCTGATAACACAAAAGGGACCGAACAGAAGCTGTGGTTTGACACCTGAGATGGAGCTAAAAGTGTTCAAATCAAATACCAGCTGCTTTTAAGCTGCTACAGCTAAAAGCAGGTTCCTTTTAGGTCGATGTGATGTTCTACTTAGAGCCTTTTTCAACAACAGAACCGGGTCCAGGTCCGGGCGGGTTTTACAGTTTGTTCGTCTCAGACGTGAAACGTTGCAGCTGCTGAGCACGACTCAACGCCACTAAACCAGGCGAAAGACAAATCTGTGAGTGAGACAAGAAATGCACCCGTTTCTCCCCAGAGGGAGTCGTGAGCGTCCATCTGCGCCGCCAGCTGTTCATCTTCCAGGTCCAGAAAGCTTTTCACCACCTGCAAGAAAAACAGCAGCAGCTTTAGCTTACTGAGAAGATCAGCCGAAGGACCCAAATGTTGAAAGTTGGTAAAAAAAAAAACTGCAACAGATTTGGTAAAACAAGCAGAACAGAAAGAAAATCAACAAAACCACAGCTAAAATATAAAATGAGCATAACCACAGCTAAAATATGAAACGAGAATAATCACAGCTAAAATATAAAATGAGCATAACCACAGCTTAAATATAAAATGAACAAAACCACAGCTAAAATATAAAATGAGCAAAACCACGGATAAAAAATAAAATGAGCAAAACCACAGCTAAAATATAAAAGGAGTAAAGCCACAGCTAAAATTTAAAATGAGCTAAACTACAGCTAAAATTTAAAATGAGCTAAACCACAGTTGGACTTGTGACCTGTCCAGGGTGTACCCCGCCCCTCGCACAGTGATTGCTGGACATGGGCACCAGCGACCCCCGTGACCCAAAATGGAATAAACGGGTAAAGATAATGGATGGATGGATAAACCACAGTTAAAATAGAAAAATAGCAAAACCACAGCTCAAGTATCAAATGAACAAAACAACAGCTAAAATTTAAAATGAGCAAAGCCATGGTGAAAATATAAAATGAGCTAAACCACAGCTAAAATACAAAATGAGCAAAACCACAGCTAAAATATAAAATGAGCAAAATCACAGCTAAAATATAAAATGAGCAAAATTATGGCTAAAATATAAAATGAGAAAACCACAGCTAAAATATAAAAGAAGCAAAACCACAGCTAAAGTATAAAATGAACAAAGCCATGACTAAAATATAAAATGAGCTAAACCACGGCTAAATTATCAAATGAGCAAAGCTTTGGCTAAAATATAAAATGAGCAACTCACAGCTAAAACACAAAATGAGCAAAACCACAGCTAAAATATGAAATGAGCAAAGCTACAGCTAAAATATAAAATGAGCAAAACCACATCGAAAAATTTAAAATCGGCAAAATTACAGCTAAAATAAAAATGAGAAAAACCACGGATAAAAAATAAAAAGAGAATAACTGCACCCAAAATATAAAATGAGCAAAACCACAGCTAAAATATAAGAAGCAAAACCAAAGCTAAAATATAAAATTAGCAAAGCCATGGCTAAAATATAAAATGAGCTGAACCACAGTTAAAATATAAAATGAGCAAAACAACAGCTAAAATATAAAATGAGCAAAGCCACAGCTAAAATATAAAATTGCCATTAATGACAATTAGTTCAACCATAGCTAAAAACTAATATCATAACTGTGGCTACAAGCTAAAATCTGCAAAATAGTAGCTAAAAGTTTAAAGTAGCAAACCCATAGTTAAAGCTAAATTCAGCAGAATGGTAGCTTAAAGCATTATAACAGTAGCTAAAAGCCATAGTCAGCTAAATAGTAGTTTAAAAGCTAAAAGTAACAGCACAGTAGCTAAAAGCTAAATGTAACAAAACAGCTAAAATATTTAGGTGTCAGAACATTAGCTAAAAACTAAGAGAAGCAAAAAGAATCAATATTCAGATTTTAAAGAGTATGTAATGTATTTTTATGGGGCTTTATTTTGAAAAGTATAAAACTTTCTCGTGGCATGAAAGGCGGCGGGTGATATGCATTCCTTCACGCCCTTCTGGTCTGACTGGTACCTGCGTGTGTCCCAAGCTGGCTGCTGCGGTGACCGCCTGCTGCACTGCGGCTGTTTTTCCGGTCGCAGCTTCATTCCCTGGGTGCAGCTGTGGGTCGGTTTGGACTTCTGCTCCCCAGTCCTGGTCCAACAGGATGTTGATGATCTCGGCGTGGCCCTTCAGCGCCGCGTGGACCAGCGCACACTGCCCACTTTTATCAGCGTGACCCACCTGGCACACAGAGGGGGAACACAGAAGGACTCAACGGCCCGGATTCTGGCCGGTGCCGGTAAAACTCTGACCTAGATCTGCCCTATTCGTTTCATCCGCCGCCCAGAATAGATCTTCAAACTGGGGTGAATTTTAAACCAGAGCAGTTCAGTCATCGCTGGAGGTAAAGAACAGACGGAACCAGATTTATCTGTCATGATAAGATTGATGATAAGAAGTACGCTGGTTCTGATCTTAAGAGTCGGGTTTGGGTCTGTCTTTGGAACTATCTTCATGTGGACAAGAACAATTCTGGATTAAGTCAAAATGTAAAAACAGACTGATGTTAATAATGTCATGAGAAACAAAAAGACACTTCTGAGGCTGCACCACTTATAGATGAGGTACGCGTTTCATCGTGCACAAAAAGAAAAAAAAAACCAGCTGGTCGTGGCTAAAGGTCCGACCTTCGTGGCTAAAAGTCGGACCGAAGCTGTCACCTACATCAGAACGTCTCAGAAAGTTCTCAATAAATAACTGGAAGAATTTACATTTTATGCCAAAATGCTGACTGTTTGCTGAAATTTGTCAAAGAAGTTTAAATTAAACTGTCAAAGTACTGGTAAAATAAACCGAACTGAAGCTAAAATTAGCAAAACAATAGCTAAAAGCTAAATCTGGCAAGACTTTAGTATGTGCCAAAATAAAAAACTAAGAAATGATAATCAGCAAAACATAGTTTAAAGCAAAATTTCACAAAACATGGTAGCCAAATGCTAGGATTAGCAAAACAGTAGCTAAAATTTAAGATGGCAAGATTGTTGCGGAGCTATAATAGAAAATGCAAAAATCTAAAACTAGCAAAACTGACAGAAAAAATTAGTAAAACCTTAGCTAAGCGCTAAAGTTGAGAAAACAATTAAAAAAAAAGGCTAAAATGAGCTAAAAACAAAAATTTGGAAAGGTTGCTAAAGAATAAAATTTGCAAAAAGCTAAAATAAGCAAAACAGTAGCTCATGGCTAAAATTAGCAAAATGCCTGCAGTTAAAAGCTAAGGTGAGCACAACATTAGCCAAAAGTTCTGATTAATAAAACTGAAAGGTAAAGTCAGTAAAACGTAAATTCTGCAAAATAGCAGCTAAAAGCTAAAAATCAGTTAAAAAAAAAAAGCTAAAAAGTTAAGATTAACACAACAATAGCTATAAAAGTAGAACTTTCCAATCCGTAGCCAAAAGCTAAAACAAGTAAAACAGTAGTTTGATGCTAAAACCAGCAAAATAGTAGCTAAAACACAAAAAAGCTACAATTAGCAAATCCTAAAATTCCCCGATTAATTTCTAGAGAATAAAAAGGTCAAATGAACATAAATATATTTTGGAAAGTGTAAACATTACTGAAACCACAGCTGGTCTTTTGGGTTCGGCTACTTCTCATTTCTGACCAAACTAAACGCCTCTGACCTTCGCCCCCTTCTTGCACAGCAGGCTGACGATGTCAACGTGTCCCGCGGCAGCTGCCAGACTCAGAGGCGTCATGCCGCTGCCGGTGGTCCCGTCGACAGGTGCCAACATCTCCAACAACAGAGCTACCATCTCCAGGTGTCCCAGGTGGGCGTGGACCGCCAGGATGGGGGCGTGACCTATGACCTCTGTAGACCAGGTTGCACTCGCCCCGCCGAGCATCAGCAAACGACTCACCTGTGAAACGGAACAACAAAAAGAGCGTCCAGTCCAGTGCAAAAGTTTTAAATCCAAAGCTGCCAGACTTTCTTGTCTGGAGTGGTCTCAGTAGAAGTTCAGACTTCCTGAAGCTCTTTTGAAGTTTTTCCTTTGAACTTTCGGCTTCTTTTTAAAAATATTTTTTAAATACTCGTTTTCTGTCCATTTCTTCTACCTGATCAACTGAGGAAATTAGACAAGTGAAGAACAAAAGATGAAGTATGAAACCAAAAAACAAAACGGCTACAACAGCAAAGACCTGAAATAGGACGAGAGGCTTCATTCTTCAGCTGAACATCTGATGAACCAGACTTCAGCTAAAAAAAAACTTTTTTTTTACTGCACCAGAGCTAAAATCCTATTTTCTGTTTCTGTCGAACCAAGTTTTTGTTATTTGATTGAACTAAATAAATGAGAACAAATCTGGAGAAGTGTTGATGGAGGCCTTTTAGAAATATTACAAATCAAAAGCCTTGGATGCAGAAAGGTGCCCACAATTCTGAGATGACTTTATCAGATGATCACAATTTGATGCTTGAACTGTATAAGGAGTGTAAAGAACAACCAAAGTTGCTGCTGGTGGCTCAACACGGTCACCATGGTAACCACAAACCTGTCTGTCATTCTGTGACTGCCAAGATATTGACAGGCAGACAAAAAAATGCTGATTGAAAAGTAAGCCTCAAATGTCTTTGTTTTTTGAATGTCCAGAGGACCAGATTGAACTTTTTTAGATTTTTCTACCTGGATTATTGAGCATGTATCAGGATAAGCCTCAAATTGTCGCTGTGCGAAAAGTCACAAGTCAGAGTTTAACAATTCTTGAGCCGTTTGTGGAAAAGACTGATGGGTACGTGTAAACTTTTACATTTATTACATTGTTTTACACAAAAATATAGAACGTTGAGACAAAACCTTCCATTTTGGTTTTAAAGGGAAAAGTCGGAGCTGGAAGGGAAATGTTTTAAATAAAATATGCTGGAGAAAATTAAAAAACGTTTGCGACCATCACAGTCTTCTGCCACAAATGGCTCTAGAATTGTTCAAATATGAATTATGGTTTTCGCTCAATATCGGTTTGTTTGAGGCTTACTTTTCAGTCTGCCTCATTATCTTGGCATTAGCTTGCTTTCTGGGTGGATTAGAGAAAAAAAAGTCCTGCAGCAGCAAGAGGCAAACTGGGTGAAAGTTGGCTTAACTTGTCTGCGTTTCGATGCATAATTTGTATATTTCTGCCACAAGGAGTTGTGGGAGTAAGAAGACTGCAGAAAATGTGAAAAAAGCTCAAAGGTTCTACAGTAACACCATGAGACTATAAGTTGTGATAAAATCCAACAATGAGGAGCTCTGCAGTACCTTGATGTTGGGTGTGTACAGGTTTCTCAGGGAGCCCAGTGCGGCGGACAGACTGTCGGTGCTGCAGTTGATCCACATGGCCTGAAGAACGCTGGAGGACACACCGGTCTTTTTACTCAGACCCTGTGGGACAGGAAAGAACCTGCTCAGATCGGCAGGACAGTCTAGATCGTAGAGTCCGCTCCGAACGCAGCACCGTGGTTCCCCTGACCTTAAATATGTGAGCCTTGAGGATGTGATGACCCAGTTCCATCGTTTGCTGCCGGTTCAGCTTCCCCTCCTGCCTTGAGAACATGAAGGCCAGCAGGGCATGGCCGCTCCTGTGGACAACAGTCACAACACAACTCACAACGTTTTGAGTGAAAAAATTAATTTGGATTTTCTGTGAAAATTCAATCTGAATTTGTTAAAGAAGCAGAACACTAACTGAAGCAAAACGCTAGCTAGAAGCAGAAATATGCTAGCTAAAAACAGCAAAAGAGTAGGTAAAAGCTAAATGTAGAAAAGGCTTAATTTCTTCAGAAATGTTTCTTTAAAATCTGCTTCAGCAAACCGACTGCTTTTGTCTTTCTGATGCTAATTTTTGTTTTTATCTACCATTCCACTTTTAGCATTTAGATAGCCTTTTGCTACTTTTAACTTCTAGCTAGCTTCTTCATAGTTTTAGCAAATCTTTCTTTGCAAACCTCTCTTTTTGCTACTTTTAGTTTTTAGCTAACCTATTGCTACTTTTAGCTTTCAGTAAGTGTATTGCTAATTTGAGCATTTAGCTACGTGCTACTTTGTGCTATTTGCTAGACTTTTGATGTTTAGTAAACTTTTTTTTAGCTTAATAACATTTAACTTTTAAACTTTGTTTTTAGCAAACCTTTTGATAATTTTAGCATTTATTTAAAGTTTAGCTCCTTTTAGCTAGCAATTTGCTACTTTTAGCTAATGTTCTGATAGATTTAGCTAGTCTTATTATTTTTAATAAACTTATTATTTTCTTTGTAAATGTTTTACTTTTAGTTGACTTTTGTTTTTGGACATTTTTGCTACTTTTTGCTTCAACCTAGCCTTTTTAGTTGTAGCTAATATAGGTTACTTTTAGCTTGTTTTTAACTATTTTTAGCTTTTTACTACCATTTTGATGTTTTTAGTTTTTAACCTTCTCTTAATTTTAGCTATCAACCTGCTAATTTTAGCTTCCACCTACTGTTATGCTAGTTTTAGTTTTAAGCTAATATTTGATACATTAAGCTAGTTTTTAACCACTTTTAAGTTTTAACTAGCATTTTTCTTCTTTAGCTAATGTTCAGCTTTTTAGCTTAACCGACTCAGTTTCAGCTTCTGAAGCAAATTTCGGTATCACTTCTCTTGTTTTGTTTGTAACGTTTGTTTTAGGTTCTCGAATGAATTTTAAGAATGTTCTGGTGGAGAATGTTTGACCTTTGGCCTCACCTCGGCTCACACAGGAAGTCCGTACTTTCTCCGTCGGCTCTCCAGACCAGCCACTCCCTGAAGGAGGGGTGACCCAGCATCCGTGTGCCGTCCCTGCGCCGAACCTTCACACGCAGAATAAAAACATTTAAATCAGAATCCACTGATGTGATCAGATGAACTTAGAGCTCTTCATCTCTAAACTTCCAGATTAGAGTTAATCCACTGCGTGTGAACTCTAATCTGAACACCAGCATCTTACCATGAGTCCAGCCAGGCCGTCTAAACTCTGCAGGAAGTCGCTCCACTCCAGCTCCCCCTTCACGCTGCCTGCGTTCAGCGCCCTGAACATTTGTTCGTCAGTCAGCGGGTGCAAAGAAGCCAGAGCTACATTTAGCACCGGGAGAACTCGCTCAAAGACCTCCTTCTCCGGAAAGCTCGCACGGCACATCAGCAGGTACACCTAACAGGTGGTATTCAAGGTATTTAAGAGACAAAACGCACAAATTTATCATAAATTTAATTATTTGCTGGCTCTGTTGGCCAAATTAGCTGCTTTGTTTGAGCTGAAGAGTCTCATATGTCAGATGTTTGTCTTATGTGGGCTCGTTGTAGACACTAATTGGATCATCTGGACCGAGGAAAGCATCTGCTGCACGAGAGAAACAACAGAAGCTCGCCAGCTTGTTGGCCTCCTTTTCCTCCCCAGGATCGGAGCTGCCATGTCTGCCATCCCGCCTGATTTTAGGGTCTTTGAAACGTTCATAACTGAGCTGGAAGGTTTACAGAAATGGAGAGTTTGAACTTCTAAAGACTCGTTATTCATGCTCACTTCCTGTGCCATCGGTGGGCAACGCCTTGGTTCCAATAAGTGATGTTTACTGATTTAAGGAAAGCAATAATGCTTACGTTGGAGCAGGTCTTCATCTGGTTCTAAAATGATCCAAATTTAACCTCGAACAAAAACACACAACACATGCCTGAACGATCAAATGTATTGATTAATTGAACATCAGCAGTAGAACCGCCTCTGATTTGAAGCATACAGGTGCGTTAACACAACACCAAGATGGAAAGACACCAGTAAAGACTCCAGAGCAGCAGTTATTGTACATGAATCTGGGAAGGGTCAAAGGTAATTTCCAAACTATCTGAAGTCCATCGTCCTACACAGAGACAGATCATTCACAAGTGGAAACATTTAAAACACCCTGAAGGTCAGACCGTGCAGTGAGCTCCATCTCTGACTCTACAGGCCTCAGTCAGCAGGTCAAAAAAACAACATGGCAGCTCGACTTAGGTTTGGAAAGTTTCATCTGAAGGAACCACAAGCCTTCAGGACCAGAACAAGACCAGAGGGCAGATGTTTACCCAGAATGCACTGCAGCAAACAGCTCCTCCCAGCTGTCAGCACAGTGGTGGAGGCTGATGGTTTGGGCTCCTGTCAGTCACTGAGTGGACCAGAACTCCTCTGTAGACCAAAGGTTCTGGAGTCAGATGTGAGTCCATCTGTTCAACAGCTGAAGCCAGCTGGGTCCAACAGGACCAAGATCTCAAACACAGCAGCTGATCTACAACAGAACGGGTCAGAAAGAAAAGAGCCTCGGTGCTACAACGGTCCATTCAGAGTCCAGAACCTCAACCTGACTGAAACACTGTGGTGGACCTTCAGAGAGCTGAACAGAACCCTCAACAATGGAAAGAAGAGTGGACCAGAACTCCTCCAGAACCATGAGGGACAAACAGGAAACTACCGAGGGTTCTTCTGCTGAAGGAGGTTCTACAAGCTGCTGGATCTGGACCTGGAACCAGTTTTTGTTTAATAAATAACGACTCAGAGGAACCTGTCGAGTGTTTCTGTTCCCCTGAGGTCAGATCTGGATCAGTTTAAAACCCGATGAAGACCGGATCAGGTTTATAAGTCCTGAAACCCCAGGACTGAAACAGGATGGACTTTCTTGTACATTTTTGTGAAGTCAAGAAGATAAATACATAAACACATAAACATATATGTGTTCATAAACACATCAGAACATTTTCTGTCAGCAGGATGTCAGAAAAGTGAGAACTTGAGCAGACGAGGAGGAAAAGGGCCGAAGTTCAAAAGTGTAGTTTTCTTTTTCAGACCGTGCAGATTAAACGGAGCCAGCAGCGAGCTGAGACCCCTTTTAAATCAAACCACGAGTGCAAAACAAATCCAAAAGTCTAACCTCTGACAGGGAGACCGGCACCACCAGGTAGTTCCCTCCTTTCAGAGCCAGGTGACCTTTGTGGAACAGATCTAGGGTCAGCTGCAGGTAGAGGAAGGAGCCGTGGCTCCGGCTCGACAGGTGGCTGCTGAACTTGCTGAGAAGCAAAGGGTCGGGGGCGGAGCCTGTTGGCGTGGTGACGTTGGTGGCGATCTGGCTGCTGCCACTGACCCTGTGGTGGATGTAGTCGCTCAGGTCGGCCCCCAGGTCGCTGCTGTCCGGCAGGATGTCCAGAGAGATGCCGGAGAAGGGAAGGAGCGTGGTGATTTCCTGCACGGGGGGCACACACACCTCGTGGGTTTTAAAGAACCGTAGGATGCACAACTTTGATGCATTAGTAGATGAAACCAGGAGGCATTACTCAGACAGAAGCTGCTGCCTCTGACTCACGCAGAGCCGGGGAAAGAGTACAGTAAACCGTGCGCCGATGACTCAACCACCATTGTTGCTCACAGGCAGCTCTCAGATTCACATTTCAGCTCGCCATCCTCCACTTTTGGACACTGGCCAAAAACCAGCTAAGATTACTAAAGAAAAAAGCTCTAAAAAAACATTTTGGTTCAACAACACGCTCCACCTTTGCTTCACTGAAATAACTTTCAGGCTGTTTAAAGCATAGACAAACACATAGACACCTCGTTCAGCGGCTGGCCTGTTGCAGCAGTCGGAGCATCCGCCATATTGGATGTGGCAGATCTGCTGGTCAACTAATACAAGGAAATGGACAGAACTTCATAAAGCACCGTTCTACAAAGTGTTTGAAGTTTAATCTCTGTCATTCACACACATTAATATATTTGGAAAACAAACAGGTACCAAAGATAACATTTGTAACTTTTAACGTGATTATTAAAAATGTTTACTCCTTAAATATTTAGGTTATAGGCACACACTAAACCAACATATGTATTCTTTTGAGTGTTTGCATCTACTAACGTGTGTAACACTATAATTGTGGCGATAAATTTAGAAATATTCATATTTAACATGTAATCTTTTTTTTTCCATTCATTCAACCTTTATTTTAACAGGTAAATCAAATACACACATAAACACACATACATACATATACAGGTCCTTATAAAAAAATTAGCATATTGTGATAAAGGTCATTATTTTCCATAATGTAATGATAAAAATGAAACTTTCATATATTTCAGATTCATTGCACACCAACTGAAATATTTCAGGTCTTTAATTGTTTTAATACTGATGATTATGGCATACAGCTCATGAAAACCCAAAATGCCTGTCCCAAAAAATTAGCATATCATGAAAAGGTTCTCTAAACAAGCTATTAACCTAACCATCTGAATCAACGACGTAACTCTAAACACCTGCAAAAGATTCCTGAGGCTTTTAAAAACTCCCAGCCTTGTTCATTACTCAAAACCACAATCATGGGTAAGACTGCCGACCTGACTGCTGTCCAGAAGGCCATCATTGACACCCTCAAGCAAGAAGGTAAGACACAGAAAGAAATTGCTGAATGAATAGGCTGTTCCCAGAGTGCTGTATCAAGGCACCTCAGTGGGAAGTCTGTGGGAAGGGAAAAGTGTGGCAGAAAACGCTGCACAACGAGAAGAGGTGACCGGACCCTGAGGAGGATTGTGGAGAAGGTCCGATTTCAGACCTTGGGGGACCTGCGGAAGCAGTGGACTGAGTCTGGAGTAGAAACATCCAGAGCCACCGTGCAGAGGCGTGTGCAGGAAATGGGCTACAGGTGCCGCATTCCCCAGGTCAAGCTACTTTTGAACCAGAAACGGCGGCAGAAGCATCTGACCAGGGCTACAGAGAAGCAGCACTGGACTGTTGCTCAGTGGTCCAAAGTACTTTTTTTGGATGAAAGCAAATTTTGCATGTCATTCGGAAATCAAGGTGCCAGAGTCTGGAGGAAGACTGGGGAGAAGGAAATGCCAAAATGCCAGAAGTCCAGTGTGAAGCACCCACAGTCGGTGATGGTCTGGGCTGCCATGTCAGCTGCTGGTGTTGGTCCACTGTGTTTTATCAAGGGCAGGGTCAATGCAGCTAGCTATCAGGAGATTTTGGAGCACTTCATGCTTCCATCTGCTGAAAAACTTTATGGAGATGAAGATTTAATTTTTCAGCATGACCTGGCACCTGCTCACAGTGCCAAAACCACTGGTAAATGGTTTACTGACCATGGTATTACTGTGCTCAATTGGCCTGCCAACTCTCCTGACCTGAACCCCATAGAGAACCTGTGGGATATTGTGAAGAGAAAGTTGAGAGACACAAGACCCAACACTCTGGATGAGCTTAAGGCCGCTATCGAAGCATCCTGGGCCTCCATAACACCTCAGCAGTGCCACAGGCTGATTGCCTCCATGCCACGCCGCATTGAAGCAGTCATTCATGCAAAAGGATTCCCGACCAAGTATTGAGTGCATAACTGAACATGATTATTTGAAGGTTGGCGTTTTTTGTATTAAAAACACTTGTCTTTCATTGGTGGGATGAAATATGCTAATTTTTTGGGACAGGCATTTTGGGTTTTCATGAGCTGTATGCCATAATCATCAGTATTAAAACAATTAAAGACCTGAAATATTTCAGTTCGTGTGCAATGAATCTGAAATATATGAAAGTTTCATTTTTATCATTACATTATGGAAAATAATTACATTTATCACAATATGCTTATTTTTTGAGAAGGACCATATATGCAGTCTGTCTGGAGTCTGTGAGTTTGTATGTGTCCATATCCAATACAGCGTCATCGTCGACGTATGATTCAGCACTCAATGAGGTGTCTAAGTATATATGTCTATGGTTAAAAGACCCTTAGCACTTCCTGTGAACTGGGGAAACAGAGATACACTGGAAAGGACAACCACTGCTCACTCCAAGAGGAGAAAAGGTGCTGCTATCTTGCTAGGTGCTATGTGGACATCATTAGAGTCTGCCAGAATGGCATCAAACCATAAATATTTGAGTAAAGAATCTAAACTCAGACAAGGAGCCTGGTCTATCAGTTTGTGTAATTGTAACCAGCTCTTCTGAGAATGTGGCATTAAGTTCTATAGGTGAGAATTCAGCCACATTAGCTCATAAATCACCTGAACTTTTCATGTTTTGTTTGCATATTTTGACAGAAAATAGTTCATAAATCAAAACATATCGATGCTACAGTGAGAGGTCACACACCTTAGTAATATTTAGGTAAAGTTAGACCTTTCAGAAATGCGAGCAATGATGTTGATCGCCCATCGGCTTCCTGTCCTGTTTTTATTTGTTAGATTTTTAAAGTTTAACTTTTATCCAAACACCGGTTTAATTATGTAACCATTTGACGGGCTGCAGATTCCCTGAACGCTCAGGGAAGTATCACGGGGCATTCAGGGCATAATCCATGCTGCATTCAGAGGCTTGGCTTTGGCATCGGACAGATGCGTCGGCTGTTTGGCGGGATTACCGACCAGATTGAGAAAACACTTCAGACCAGAGGGAGCAGCAGAGCCAAACGCTGCACTGCCTGAAGCGAGGCAGTAAAAAGCCCGACCAGCATCTTACCCATGAGTTCAGAGCTCATCTGACTCTGCCAGCTGCTCAGAGGTCAACAGAAGAAATTTACACAGGGAAGGAAAATTTATTCTACAGATTAGGTTTTTATTTTCTTCCTGAGAAAGTCTTCACAGTGAAATCTGTAAATTATGCAGAGAAATGAGGACAATCTATGTGAGAACCAAAAACAACATCTAAACTGCCTTTGTCTTTCTGCAGAGTGGAAGCAGACCGAAGGTTTCTTCAGTCCTGTTTTAAAAGGTGCGAGATGATTTAAATAAAACATAATTTGGCATTTTAGGATAATCAGGACGGACTGTTCCTCAAAGGAAACGCTGCAAAGAGCATTAGCAGCGTGGCCATGGTGATAAAATGTTTTTAAACGACTCGTGGGCTCAGATTCAGGCGACGCAGGCAGAAATTTGTTGTTTTATTTCAGTAAATAGGGGAAACAAACTTCTTAAATGCTCTTCAAAGTAGAGTTGCATTTGGGCCCAAAAAAATCCGACCCGACCCGGCCCCAGCCCGTAGCCAGCATTTTTGAACCCCGCCCGACCTGACGAATTAACAGTAATTACAGGTCCGAACCCGAACACCCCCCCACCCTGACATTTTTAATTAAGCTTTGACTGCTTATATAGTTATTAACAGTCGGCAGACATGCGCGGCTGAATAAAAGGGGGGCAGAAGATCGGAGCTGAGGGTGTTTGTCCTTTCATGGCCGTCAAAGTGCATTAAATCCCTGCTTCTGCCTGCATTCTGCATTATTCAGACATGGACCCTGCTCTGACATGTCTGCTTTGGGAACTCGCCTGTTTGGGTCGTCGGCTGTGCACGTCCGCTAAGTGCAGCGGCTGAACGTCCATTTGGGCGATGGATTGCTGCCTGGCATTACAGTCCCATCTAAAGCTTAACTGAACTTTTTACCTCTTTCAAGGCCAGTCAGCTTGTGGTGAAATGGCAGCGTGCAGCTGGTGATTGTTTGGCAAGCCATGTTGCCATATATTGGAATGTATGGCAAGCCAAGTTGCCATATAATTGGATTGCAGCTGATCTGCTGACGCAATCAAAAGCCCAACACGACCCGGCCTGCCCATCCAGCACATTATTATGGCCCGGCCCAATTTCGGGTCGGGCCGAGCTTCAGGCCCGGGTTAGAAATGACAGCTCTACTTAAAAGGGAACACTGAGTCGGCATTCACACCGTTTTTATTCTTCCATACATTTAGCTGCTTTGTGCCGTTTAAGCCATTCATATATCAAAGTGTTTGACTGTTTCGGAAGATGGGTGTCTCTTTTTGTAACTTGTACTTTTTAAATGTTTAACTTTTAAAACAGATGCTTGAAATTGACTGAAATAGCTAAAATGACAAAAGATGTTAAAGCTAAAAGTTGCAAACTGTAATTAAACGTACCAGTATATATTCTTAAGATAATATCACTTCAACAAAGGCTAAAGTTAGCTAAACAGTTGCTAAAATCTAAAATAAGCAAAACAATAGCTAACAGTAGCAGAATGGCAGTTAATCCTTAAAAGTAGCAAAATAACACAAAACAGTAGCTGAAATTAGCTAAATACTGTACATTAAAGCTAAAATTATCAAAGCAGTAGCTAAAAACAGTTAAACAGATGCTTAAGCTAAAATATTCTAAACACGTAGAAGCTAAAAGTACCGGTAGCAAAATGGTATCTGAAGGCCAAATGTAGCATAAAAATACAAAAAAGTGGCTGATTAAAGCTAAATGTGTTAAAGCCTAAATTAGCAAAACAGATGTTTATTGTTGCAATACAGTAGCTAAACGTAGTAGAACAGTAGCTAAAAACTAAAAGTCACAGAAGACAAACATACTGTAGAGTCAGTTTGCTAAAACAGACTTAAAAGAAAATGTTTTTGAAGAAACTAAAGAGATCTCAAAGTATTTCTTTGGGAATTTTTTTTATGAATAAAGTCAAAATATTGTAAAAAAAAAAAAAAAATATATATATATATATATATATATATAAACATTACGAAACCCAAAAGTCGCTCTTTTCTTAATTGAGCTGAACCTTTTGGTATTTGAACGGTTCGAGCAGCAGAAGTTTGTGAAAATGGCTGACAAAATTAAAACCATGCAGGGGAACCCATAAAGAATAAACCGACCGTGTGAACTCGGACTGTAAGAACATTTTGTCGGAGTATCTGGAGTTCATTGTGAGGAACTCGGACTCACTGAGTGGGACCGATGTGACTAATATCAGCTTAAAAGAACCATCTTCACAAAACACGAGCACATCCTGCACGATTTGAAGTCGAGCTGAAAGAAAAGCAGCTCTCGCAGATGTTGCCAGTCACAACGAGCTAAACGTGTTTCCGTGGGTCGAAGCTCAAGTCACTCACCACCAGGCCTGTCCTCACTGTGACCACCAGCTTCAGCCATGCAGGAAATCTGGAGATGACTTTGGTGACGAAGGTGGCGATCGTGTCCCCATAGTCCGGTTTGTGGAACTCAGCTTCATTAAGACTGTCGACCAGTATGATGTAGTCTTCCTCGGGCAGCCGTCGGTCTGGAAGCAGAAAAAAAACGGCGCGTGAAGCTCGACGTAACATCGCTGACGTTTAGAAACAACCGTTTACAACCAAACCTGAGAATTTATATAAAAAATAAATAAAAATAAACAGACAAAACAGCAAACCTGAGTAAGATGTAGAAAACCACAAAGGAATGCTTGTCACCCGCTGCCCTGCATGCCAAACTTGCAAATGTAGATCTAATAGCTCTCAGAATGTGTCAGGGCTACTCTCAGCTACTACCACACCAAACTCTAGCTTGCCATCTCTGATTCAGACCAAATTGTAGCCATTTTTGTGTTTTTATGGTTGATTAGCGGTGGTGGCCATCTTGAATGGGTGTCTCCAGAAGTTAATCAGTTGTAGATCCAAAGATCTGCATCTCCATCTTCTAACACTTATCCGTAGTCAGGTCATGGAGCCAACAGGTCCAGGAGACACCCAGACCTTCTCCCCAGAGACTCTCCAGCTCCTTCTGGTGGACCTCGAGGTGTTCCCAGACCAGAGAGGTTCTATAATAACTCCAGAAAGTTCTGGGTTTGCCCCAGAGTCTCTTACCAGTGGGATGTTCTTGGAAAAGCTCCAAAGGGAGGCGGCCAGATCAGATGAACCTCCTCAGCTGACTCCTTTTGATGCAAAGGAGCAGCAGCTCTACTCCGAGCTCCCACCAGATGACGGAGCTCCTCCTATCTCTGAGGCTAAGCCCCCCCACCCTATGAAGGAAGACCACTTCAGCTACTTGTATCCAGGATCTGTTTCTTTGGGTCCTGATTAGGGATGCACCGATCCACTTTTTCCACTTCCGATTTCGATATCTGAGATTTAGTCTCGGTCGATACTGATCCGATACCGAAAACCAGTGCTGAACTCCGTTCAACAAACTCAGCGTGCTCTTTAGGGAGAAATCTCTGGAGATGCTTGATTAAGTTGGTAGTGTTATAACTGAAAGTTTTAGTGACACCCCCTGGAACCGTCGCTGTGCACGTATTGCAAGTAGCTGTCGAATGTGTTGGCTGAGGTAGTGTGAAATAGTTCCAGATGGCTGATCCCTTTGCTCGTTCCATTTTGTAAACAATCTGTGCGGCGAGTTCACTAGCGCGTGATCCAGAAGTTTTTTTTTATATTGGGACCCATACCGATATTGGTATTGGATAAGTGCATCTCTAGTCCTGATCCAAACCTTATGACCACAGGTGAGGGGTGGAACGTAGACAGACCAGTAAATCCAGAGCTTTGCCTTTCGACTCAACGCTTTCTTCACCACAACTGACCGGAGCAACGCCCTTATTACTGAGGACGAGGTTCCAATCCGTCTCCATTCTACCATCACTCAGGAACAAGTCGCTCAGATACCTGAACTTCTCCAACTGAGGCAGAGACATCCAATGATGACTTCCTAAAAGTTTCATTAAAATTCATTGTGTGGTCCATGGATATTTTACTAACAGACATAGGCAAAAAATATGTCACTTGCTTTTTACCTTTCGATAATCAAAGAGATAGTTTGTGGTGGTTTGGATAAACCCAACAACAAACATTCAATGTTAAGACCTTAAAATCCTGTAAAATGACCAAACATCTGTTTCACGCTCTACTTTTCCAAATTGTTGACTTTAATGAGAGAAAAGTTTATAAAAGTAAATATATTTAGTGTAAACCTTCATTATTGTCCACAGCTGAAAGGAGAAAGGTGGGCAATAGTTTCCACCTGTACCCGTGTGTGTTTGCAAAATATCTCATGAAGCACTAGATGGATTTAACCTAAACTAAAAGTATATCCACATTTTAATAACTTTTGAAGTCAACCCGATTCAAGATGGCCACCACAGCTAATCAGTTTATCAAATGCACAGTTTTAAAACTTGGTGTGGTAGTAGCTGAGAGTCATCCAGCACAAACAATTTGCACGAGATCTCATAAAACTTCATACTTTCTCTCGATGGGATGATCTCAAACTGTGCGGGCGATATGCATTCCTCGGAGGCCTGTAGTTACCTTTGCGTAACGAGGCGAGCGGTTCCAGGACTCCCTTTCTGAAGGCGGCGATGGGATCCTGAACGCAGGAGCGTAAACTGAGCGTGGTCTGCAGGTGAGGTTCTTGGATTAGCAGCTCTCGATACGCAGCCAGCTGAGGCGCTCTGGCCAGCAGGGCGGCGACGCTGTGCACAAACTCTGGAACCAGGCAGGTGTAGGTGTTGTCCGCCTGGCAGAAGTGGTACGACACCACCTGGAAGGGAAAAGTCGGGAGTACAGGTGTTATAACAAGGTGCAGTATCGATCCACAGCATAGCTTTGTTGTATCTATAAAATCACAGGATGAATTTTACTGAAAATTTCAGGAAGTAATCACTGGATATACATCTACAACTTAATCATTTATCCAATCCAAGATGGCTGCTACAGCCAACTCACCTTAGGAAACTTAGAACAGCTATAAATCGGTTGGTTTTACAGATATTCAGCTAAAACGTAGCTGAAATTCAAGCCACATAATCAAAGGGCTTCTTGATGCAAGAGAACGTTGCTCAGAACTTTAGCTTTAAATGTTGGGAGTCGATCCTGTTGGCTGTTAGTAAAATATCTCCTGAGTCACTGGATAGATTTTATCAAAACTGTCACCGTTTGTGGTGGAGTCAGACTCAGAGACGGAGACCAACAAGAAGAGCTCGAGTTAAAGATGAAGCGTTTGTTCAAATGGAAAACGAAAAGCTGGAGTGGCAGCAACGACTTCAAGAGACACAAGGAGACACTAGAAAACACAAGGATACAGTAGGAGACACT